CCCTGAGAGAGGGCTGCAGGGGTAAAAGCAGCCCTGGAGAGGGCTGCAGCTCTAAAAGCTGGGTTGATTGGGGAAGCGGCCGCAGCTGGGCCACGCCCCAATCAGGCCACAGCTGGCCTATAAAAAGGCTGTGAGCCAGAGGCCAAACAATCTCTCTGTAGCTGTAGAGGGAGAAGGGTCTGGCTGCAGGGAGATAGAGACAGGGTACCTGGGTGGAGCAGGGCTGGGGAAAGGCAGAGGAGCTAGGGAGCTCCAGCCTGGAAAGCCTCAGGCTGCAGCCTAGCAGAAGGCCAAGAGGTACTGGGGGTTGCAGAGGGCAGCCCAGGGGAAGGCCAAGGCAGCAGGTCCAAACCCAACCTGGCCTGTGATGAGTGGCTTATACTGCAGTCTGCCCAGGGAGCGGGAGCTAGTTGGTGACGGGCAGTGGCCTTATTCTGAGGCGAGGTGGGGATAGTGGGTGGGGGCTCCCTGGGGAGGGGAGACCGGAAGAGTGTGTGGGTACTGCCAAGGGGCAGCAGCCAGAGAAAGGGGCAGCGGGGTCCAGGGAGGGACACAGGGGCCAGAGGACAGGCGGATCACTGGCCTGCAGAGGGCGCTCCAAGGCTGAGGGAGCTAATTCTCGGAGATGACCAGCAGGAGGCACCGCAGGGGTGAGTCTGCGCCAGTCTACACTGCTGTAGCTGGCATTGCAAGGTATTTAAGTGCCAGATACGCTAAAGATTTGTATGCCTTATCCTGCTTTGACACCATTCCACTGTACACTTTGTATTGTGTTGTAATTGAAATCAATATATTTGAAAATGTAGAAAAACATTCAAAAATACCTACAACAAATTTAAATTGGTATTCTGTTTAACAGTGTGATTAAAACAGCAATTAATCACAGTAAAATTTTTTTTAATTGAGTTAATTTGTTTTGAGTTAATTGCTTTAGTTAACTGCAATTAATTGACAGCCCAGATAGAAACTACATGTTCCTGTGTCTTTCCTTCTGCTTAGAAAAATAGGCAGCAATGTGTCTATAGACCTATGACTGCAATTGGAACCTGACTGTTGCATCAGGTCACAAAACATGTATTTATCTGCAGGATAACTGGCTGTAGCCAGTCATATCAGTTGCCCACTTTTATCAACACAAGATTGAATTATAGCATTTTAAATGAAAAATATATCTTGTATGTAAAATAGGAAACCAATTTGCTATGCCTTTTTCTGTCAATCTAGACCACCTTAAGAGTTATGAAAATGGATCTTACAGGGTTGTTCATGTTCCCATCAGTGGATAAAAGGGTTTGAAATTCAAGTTGTAATTTCTAATGCGTATACTTTGGTTAATATTAAACGTGCCTATTTCTAGATGAAGGCCCAGTCCTGCAAACACTTATGCACTCGAAGCTTCTCTTCCCAAAGAGCTTTCAAGTATGGGGAGCCATGCTGCCCCTCCTCTTCAGTGTGTATGGGGGTATTAATGTGGCCTAAAGGATAGAGCAGAGCAGGGATCAGCAACCTTTGGCACACGGCCCACCAGGGTAAGCACCCTTGTGGGCCGGCTAGTTTACCTGCCGCGTCTGCAGGTTCGGCTGATTGCGGCTCCCACTGGCCGCGGTTCGCCACTCCAGGCCCATGGGGGAAGCAGCGCGGGCCGAGGGATGTGCTGGCCGCCACTTCCCGCAGCCCCCGTTGGCCTGGAGCGGCGAACTGCAGCCAGTAGGAGCCGCAATCGGCCAAACCTGCAGACGCGGCAGGTAAACAAACCGGCCCGGCCTGCCAGGGCGCTTACCCTGGCGGGCTGCGTGCCAAAGGCTGCCGATCCCTGGAGCAAAGAGTCATGAAGCTGATATAGACCTTTAGTGCGATACAGATTTGTGTTGTAGTAATTCTATTTAAGAGAAAAATGAAGCTCTTAAATTAGATTATCACTTGCTAGATAATTCAAAATTACAGCTGCAATTGGGCCTGCTATGGTAATTATCGAAACTTGAAAAGCCTTCTTTTGTTTTCCAGCAATGTTCATGCCCATTGTGACCATGATTGCTGGGGAGCTATACTGAGAATGCTCAATCAGGGCAAACTGCAAAGAATATATCAGATGATACCCAAAACTGGTGGTTTATTCTATAATTAGTTTTTACCAAGCCAGTAACAAAACAGCTTCTGTAATACCTTACTTTTTACCTAAAAGCCAAAATACAGTTCCCTTTAAACAATCCAGCCTTTGGCTCCCACGCAGACCGCCAAGTCTAATATAGTGAAGGTTACTAAAAACCTTATTCACCATATATAAATTTCTACCAATCGCATTACTCATGCAGCAGGTCAATGAATATTTCAGATCTTACCAAATATGTGCCTACAGCCAATCCTTATGAACTACATTTCTTTTCTTTAATAAAGAGTTATGAATAAAGTTCTTAGGTCAGTTTCATAGCCGAGATGGCGAGGTTGATTTCTAAAAATCCTTCTGAAATCAATTTAAAAGGGTATAGTCCAATAGGAAGTCCAGGTGCATAGTTTGTTGCGATTCTTCCATGAGAAATTGCAGGGATAATCCAGTATAGGCCTGGAGACTTTAGTCTTGCAACTTAGACTTTCCCTGACAAAGTTTAAGAACATCTGAGATAAAACAGGATCAGGCCCAACTTCCTTTATAACTAAAGTTCAGTGGATAAGCCTCTTGTCAGCAAATGATCACAGCAGGCTTCCCTTGGATGAAGAATAGGGTAAGTACATTGTTGCTTTGAAGCTAATCTGTTTCCTAGGCATACACTGGTATCTAGTTGCATTCATTAGCATAAATCAATTAACCATTCAAACAGCTCACAGGTAGATTTACATTGTGGAGTCACACATTTCAAAGAGAATTGAATACAATAATGTCACTACACCACAAGTTCCATCTAAATTTTAATATCCCCTTTTGATCGTTGAATCAATAAAATACAATAATGAAACATTATAGACAGGAACAGAAGTTTAGCATCTACAAACTGCTTAGATCACATTGCTAAACTCTAACAAGATGTAGGTAAGCATAGATAAATACAATTAGTATCTTCTACTTGGTTCTCTAACAATATAGACCTACATTTTAAGGACTCTGGTTTATTTAACATGGCTTTGCTAACTATCTATAAGGAATGGCCCTGTTTGCCATTTCAGTACTCTTCTAATATGTCCTTAAGGGTTGTTTTCAAGTCATACAGCCTGCTGGTGGCTTAACCCTCGCTGGCTCAGCCTCACACCCCTAAAGGCCTTTAAAAAGCAAAATGAAACTTCTAATCTGTAGCTTTTAAATCCACCAGTTAGATTCCCTCTTCTCAGTGAGAGTTAAAGTTATGTGCTTGATTTTTACCTCTTTTGGCATGTTACAAGCCATGTTATTTATCTGTTAAAGCATCAGTATGCTTGACACATTACGAGGCAGCCAATAAGATGGTCTCCATCCCTACTTTTACTGGCTTCCAGACAACTGATAAGCCGAGAGGAACTTTCTAAGCTATTACAATATTTTATTCAGATTGAAAGCAGTGCATCATTTCTTTTGTATGTTTTGAAAAATGCTCCATTTCAGTTAACTTAAAAATCTTTCATCTGGGTTTATTCTAATACTTCGTACTTACAAGGGACTTTTCATCATGTGATCGATCACAAAGCACTTTACAAAGGTGGATAAGCATTAGTATCCCCTCTTTACAGATTGTGGAACTGAGGAATAGAAAGCTGTCATAGACCCCCATCCTGCAAACACCTAAACACAGTTGCAAGTAGTCCAGTGGAGTTCAATGGGGCTGCTTGTGTGTGTAAAAGCTATGCCCGTGCTTAAGTGTTTACAGGATCAGAACAATCGTGGGCTATACAGTTATGTAGATATACAACAGAACTTTAAAGAGTTTTCCCCTGTAAAGGCTCAACAATGTTTTTCTTTCGAATGACACACTTTTTGATATTTTGGAAGCAGTCACAAACTTTGCTTGTGCATTATGCAGGTCAAAGAACTGAAAGGCAGAATGGCTGGTGCTGTAAAGCTCATTGAATGCCTTTCTAGGTCAGACAAGGAAAACTGGCCCAAAACCTTTCATCTGGCTCTAGAACAAGCAGGATATGACCGAGCAAGCAAACTGTGGAATATGAAAGAAGGTAATATGCAAATTTTATCATATTCTATGCTTAAGGTTCTGTTGTTGTACCAGACATGAATTGTCTTCAGGAAGATGAGATTACCTTAAAGGGACACTGTCAGTGTGATTCCTTTCTTTTTTTTTTTAATTGACTCAGTTTTAAAAAAAAGTGTGTTCTGGTAGTAAACAACCCTGAAATATAAAAATGTTCTAAAGATTTTTATTTTTATTTTTTTTGCTGCCCTATTGATGATGATGATAGGGTCTTTTTTAGCAAAGGAGAAATTAATTATACAAGATAAATGAAGAAACTGACTGCACAAAGTGAACAACTGGAAAAATTTGTCCCACACCATCGACTGTATTCATTTATCATTATTGTATGTGTTTGTAAATGAAAGGCACAACATTTTCAGACAAATGTGATTTGTCAAGTTGATGTCTCTTATTGAAGCTGATAAACCTACCTTTGACTTGCTGTCCCTGTTGTAAAGTGATCAGTATAGGTTTCCACAATACCTAATGGACTGATCACCTTGTCCCTACACATCTGTGCACACAACAGAAAGGTAAAGACAGTGTGTTTCAGAATTTGTTGAGCAGCATCTACTGGCCCTCAGACTGAGCAACTCCTTTTGTTTCTGCAAATGCGGAATTTCCCATTAAGTCCACCGTCTGCCACTGAATTTACCATGTTGTTGTGTTTTTCGTTTGAGATTCTTCTTTGAGATTATAAAAATACCCTCACAATTGAGCTTGCTTTGGAATTACCAGGGACATTCTTGAGTTGACGATGGTAGGATTGGGCACTACATATCTAAACCAAGTGATTGTTATGGGTGAATCTAGATTCCATTTTTTTATACTTGATCTGCTTTGACCTGGAACATAAGGAGCTTGTTTGAAATAGTTTTAATTAGCAAATTGGGGAGAAAAAATATTTTTTTGTAAATGTTTAGCTATTTTAAGTAACTTATGTGGTTGGCTCTGATTTGGAGACAGCTTTATATTACAGTAACCTGGTCTGTGTAATTTTGTGTGTCTTTGGGTTCTCCCCTCCCCCCCAACTCCCAAATCACCTGTATTTTATAGCCTTTTTTTTTTTAAAGGCTTTTTGGGCCTCTTATGACATCTACCTTAATAAAACTAAAGTGTACGCAATTGGGGATGCTCTTGGATCATAAGAGAAATTATCCATGTTGGAGATGTCACAACTCGAACAGTCAAAGAGTTGCTGACAGGAGGCACTGCTAACTAAAGCCTACTCTTTGGAACTTAATTTCTTGGCTAGCAGTGAAGAGAAGAAAGGTAGCTCTGATGTGCTTTTTGGTTTTGTATGTTTTTTGTCACAGCTAAACTAATGATAGTTCTATGAGAAAACGGTTCCAAAACACACAATATAGGGGGAGCAAGGAATATTTAGCATATGCCCTCAGAACTAGTCAGAAATAAATCTTAGACTGATACAAGGAGGAAGAGGAGGTTGAATAGGCTGTGCTCTTATGAGCATGTGGCACTTCTAAAATCATAGGGGTCCACATAGTCATTTGTCTACCTTAAGCCCAGCCTGGACAAGGCATTTTATTTTTACCTCATAGACATAAGGCCAGAAGGGACCATCATGATCATCTAGTCTGACCTCCTCCACTGCCAGCAAACAACTTCTTTCCCAATAAGATTCGGCATTGTGGGAGAACCACTTTCCTGACCTGTCAAAAGTATGACTTTTAAAGTGGAAAAGATGGCTAAGATGCTTGCCTTGGTGTTGTTCAGGTGACAATAAAGAGATGGATGTTGAAATGATGGAGGACCAGAATGGGACCAGTAGTGCCTTTGACATAAATGTACAGTATTCCGAAGAAGCAGAAGTTCACAATTTCAGTGAAAGTCCGTGTTCTCCTTCAGGTAATATTCAGCAACTTAACACGCTTGCAAACATTAGAACTGTGCACTCCTTTGCACTTTTAAAATGTGTGTGGTGTCCTTAAAATGGATCAAAAGAAGATAATTGTAGAAAATAGAGCCTTCTGCATTGAATTTCGTACTTCCCAGTTTAATTGTTTAACTTCACTGTTTGCTGCTAAAAATGCCCAATGCCTTGGGCATGACATGCATCATATGCTGCTCCTTGTTTCCCATACACTCACTGGAAAGTTGGTGTTTCAGAGGAGCACCCTCATGAAGGGGTTAAAATAGTGGAACTCAATCCATGGCTCTTCTCTGATTTGAGTAAGTCACCACATGACTTAGTAACTGGTAATTTAGATAAACAGCAGCATATTGGTCTGTGCCCTGGCTGGAACAAAGCCAAGGGAGCCCTAAAATACTGCTTGTTTTCTGAACTGTTTTGACAAATGTTAATTTGTGCTATCACTATCTGTTAGTCACAAAACAATAACTAGTAACTCTGTCAGAATGGCTCTTTGGTTTTTAAAGGCTGAGAGCCCCTGGATTAAAGAAAACATTGAAAGGTGTAGGAGTCATTGGACCAGAAGGATTAAAATAAGACACATTCAAGCTGTACATAGTGTTCATACAATCTGTTCTGGGGAGACACAGACCGACATTTTTATCAGGTGCTATGCTTTCTGGCTTGAAAAGATTGGGTCAAGGTAAGATCAGTGTTGACTCTGCCAGCAAAGAGTTTGAAAGGAGTTCATCTGAGGGAGAATAAACAGGCTTTACAAAATGCCAGCTTGTAACACACAAACCACGTAAAGTTCCAGTCTGGTATATGGTCTGTTAAAAAAATCTTTTCCCTCAAGTGCTACTCATTAATTTTAGATCATAACTATATATGGGGGATAATGTATTCAAACCAAAGCATTACTTATCCATTTTATATAATGGATCATGTTCTTCACCACAGCATATATTGAACTTTGCTTATTTATGTTCTAGAAGTGTCTCAACAACCTACTTATGGACCAAAGAAGGCTAGAAGTTATCAGATTGAGCTTGCCCGGCCTGCTGTCAGTGGGAAAAATACAATCATATGTGCTCCTACTGGTAAGAACGTGTATTCCCAGTGTTGATTTTTTTTTTTTTTTGAGACATGCTCTTTATTTTGCTGTGTGGTATGAGAGGGGAGGGCTTGGGGGGGGAAGAGTCTGGGGGAGGGGAAATGGACATCACAATGTTGTCGTTTAGGACAAGAATTTGTCAAATTCTCCCATCATCCTTTTATTTAAAAGCAAACTACCCATTAAATTTAATCCACAGTGATTACAGAGGACCCCCAAGGACTCACTAGTTATGTCCTGCGGAGATAGTGGGTGAGGTTCTGTGGCCTGCAACGTGCAGGGAGTCAGACTAGATTATGATGGTCCCTTCTGACCTTAAAGTCTGAGTCTATGGCATTTACAGCAGAACTAAAATCCCTCTCTTTTGCACTTTGATATTTGAATGTTCCCTGTGAAATTTCCAAACTAGTCCTTCATGGGCCAATTACATTTTCCATAATGTTTGTATGGGGCAACATTTTGCTAACTTTCACAGAGAAAAGGTTTAAAATTGAGACCTTAGAAATTTATCTTGAGACTCTGCTGGAGATTTTCTGTCTAAGTAAAGAGCTGCAGTCTCTACAAACTCCAGACCTCAGGGACATTTTCAAGTCCGCTCAGGAACAGGTCAATGTTAAAGTTTAACCACAAAACAGCTGTTCCCCTTCTGCAAAGAGTAGCTGACTGAGCAGTCACCTTTCACTGGCTACTTCCCTCAGATGCTGCCAGCCTGAATCACCAACTTCATTCCTCACAGAGGCTTTGGGAAGAGGGGCTGTGGAGGGAGAAACTGAAGTGTGTGGGAAGGGTGAGGAGGACTGTGTGGGGAGACTTGCAGATGAAGATACCGTGGCAGCAGATATGCACCAGTGACCTGATCCAAAGCTCATTGAAGTCAATGGAAAGACTCACATTGACAGGCCACAGATCAGCTTCTACCTGTAGTGTGAGACTATCGGAGGGTCATAAGTCTGGCTGAGGGACTGGACCCCCCCACCACCTCACATACATCCACAATCCTGAAGAATCATGATGTCCTTCCCCCATATCTCCGCTCACTTAACTCTTTAAAAAAAAAAAGACTGCAATTAGGGAAGAAAGCTGTGGGAGGACAAAGGAGGACCATGGAGCAATCCAGACTGTGCACTGGGAGCAGAGTAAGGAGTGAGTAAAGGTCATATGGGGGAGGAGTGCAGCAGTATATGGCCCTAGGAGAAAGTGGGCTTCAGGGGGAGGGGAAGTGAAAGTGGGGAGAGGAGGATACAGAAAGTTGGGGATCTGTGTGGGGCACATAAGAGTTAATGCAGCGTGAATAGGGTAGCATAGAGGCCATTGTGTCGGGAGGTATTTGTGTGTTCTTTGTGCACTAATTCCCATATATAGTTACATTTTTTTTGTATTCATAAAATAAACTGTGTGTGCAGCAATACACGAAGTAGTTACAAAAAGGTTGATATTCTGGCTTAAAGGAAAAGTTGGAAATGAGCAAAATTTAATGGACCTTAAACAGCTGTAATCTGATGAGGAACATCTCTGGATTTTACACTTTTTTTTTCCCCCCTTCTCTCTCTCCATTTATTTATTTATTTAAAGTTTTGTTTTGACACAAGTACTGCTCTAGAAAAACAAGCTTTTCGTGCATCGGGGAGTTCCTGTGATTATGAGAGATAACTCAAAACACCGTTGTGGTTCAGAAGATAGCCGTAATGTTATTTAGAGTGCTGCTGATAAACAAGGAAGCAATCCTAGCAAAGCCATAAGAAACTGAAGTGAAATGAAATCAGGGTTTGTGAAACAGAAGAGGACAAAACTGATAGGGAATTTGCATCCCTTTAAACAAATAAAGCCAGTACACTCTGAATGACAGCTATCACTCCCCCCTTAATCCATTGCTTTATGTCAAAGGACTATCATTCTATATGGTAGATAAGTTGTCTTCGGTACTACTGAGTCTGTTTCAGTACCAAGATCACGAAATAGAGAGTGATGCTAAGTATCCTGGATCCCCCAACTGCATTCCTGCAGTGAGCTTAAAGTAAGAACACGGGTTTGCCCACAAGGAGCCTTAAATTGTTACAGCTGCACTTGTGGTGAGGGAATATTCCAGCTTTTTGTTACTAATTCTTTGTTTTCATGCTTGATGTTTAAAAGGATCTGGGAAAACCTTTGTGGCACTTCTGATTTGTGACAATCATCTCCAAAACATGCCCAAGGAACAGAAAGGGAAGATTGTCTTTCTAGCTACTAAAGTTCCAGTATATGAACAACAGAAAAAAGTCTTCACGCAACACTTTGAAAGAACTAGGTAGGTACGAGTCCACACGTGTAGTCTTCAGGTTTCTTTACTTCAGAGTTCCAAACCGTAGGTTCCTTTACATCCTCATGATCCTACCTCTTGAGGGGTCTTTTTTTTTTTTAAACTACCATTTCAGGACTGTCTCTCAATAAAGTTCTGGTAAAAAGTGTGGCCCAAACTCAGAAGATGAAAATACATCCAATCAAAAAGTGACCAAACTGTCTTTGAGGTGTAATTGAAGGCTGCCTCTGAAAAGCAGCTACTTAGGTGCAGCCATATAGAGCCCTTGTATGGACTTATAACTTTCATTTAGGTTTAAAGGAGCTAATTGACATGCATCCGCATGTAAGTGTCTCAATACTAAGTTCAGGAAGTGTCTTCTCTTTTCTTATAGCCCAGATACATAGAGGGTGGGATGGATTGTATTCAGAAAACCTATTTCATAAGTAAAGGATGATGGTTGAATGGATGATGCTGATAAAAAAAAGCCGGTGTCCTAAACCAAACATGTTTCAGTTGGGGGAGTTGCAGGGGATCAGTACCTCTGAAAATGTGGTCACCTATTTAGAGTCCTGTTCCAAAGCCCATATGAATCAATAGACTCTCATTGACCTTAATGGGTTTTGTATCAGACCCTGGGTATCTAACTTAAGGCACTCACAATTGAAGATTTTGGGCCTGATATCAATTCTCACTACCTTGGTTGATTCCCCAAGGAGATCTTGCCCTATCTTCTTGCTTTTCCTGCTCTGTGGATGTACTAATGTGAACTATACTCTGTATTAATGTCACGACACACGTCTTTTCTCTCCCAGGTACGAAGTTGCGGGGATTTCTGGGGAAACGGCTGGGGATGTCTCTTCAGCAAGCGTCATTGAAGGGAATGATATCATTGTCTTGACACCTCAGATCCTTGTGAATGCTCTCAAAGATGGAACTGTTCCTTCCCTTGCCATTTTCACTTTGATTATATTTGATGAGTGCCACAACACCACTGGGAATCACCCCTATAATGTGTTAATGACCAGCTACTTGAATCTTAAATTTGACTCCGCTGTGAAACAGCTGCCTCAGGTAAGGCACCACCCAGGGTTGGGAGCATTTGAAATCAGGACCACCTGCTGAGGTTTTGTTAGCTATGCCTTTCATCTTTTTTCCATTTTTCCTGCAAACCCCACCTTGCTACCACTGCAACTTCAAATATTAACCCCGTGTTTCACTCGGAGGCTTCTGGCTGGGCCACTTTTCCAGCAGCAGTCTCCTTTTAGTCAGCAAGACAAGACCTAATCTTTTTAACTCCAAACTGGATTCTGATGAAGGGCTCATGGGAGGAAAGCCCAGGTTACAAAATATAATCCTTGACTTGCTCCTTCCAGGACAGCAGCACAGGAGTTGGGCCACAATGATTCAATTGTGACTTAATAATTTATAGCCTCTAAAAGTACATTAGGTGCTGTGTTGTCTTTAAGAAGCAAAATTGACTCTGAATGGGCCAGAATTGAAGTTTCTCCTACCACTGATGCAAGACTGGCAAGAACATCTGGATCTTGAGAAAAATCTTGGGGAGGGAGGAGAACAGAATGTAATAGATCTTGCTAGCTTTTTATTCAGAATATCCATGCCCGTGTTCTTGATTTCTCCCACCTCTGCCCTCTCTTTACTAACAAGGAAGATCAGTCAGGGGACTATCATGTTACTGGCTGCTTCTTTTTAATGACATGAACATATGTATTTTGTACATGAATGTGTTCAGATTGTTGGCTTAACAGCCTCGGTCGGCGTGGGCAGTGCCAAGACCCTCGAGGAGACGATAGAATACATCTGTACCCTCTGCGCCTGCCTCGACATACAAGTCATATCTACCATCAGAGAGAACACACAAGAACTGGAGGAGATTGTATACAGGCCCCAAAAATGTAAGTGTTTCAGTAGGAATGTATCACTGCTAAGGTCCTGCGTTAGTCTAGTGTCTGAAAACAGACTTAACTGCATCTCCATTCAGGACAGCACTTCAATCGAATGCTCAAAATTAAGCAGCATGTGATTGAGTCCTGTTAACTTCAATGTGACTTATGCCCACACTTAAAGGATGTTCTGAAGTGCTGTCCTGAAATAGGGATGTTTTCCTGAATCGGGGCTGAAGTTCTGGTGGGCCTGATGTTCCTCTCACATAAACTGCTGTAAATTGGGAGTACCCTCTTTTAGATCAGTGGAGTTGCACAAATCCAAAACCTGTGTAAGGATCTCATCCAGCAAAGCACTTGCCCACGTGCTTAATTTTAAGCACACTACTCTCACACGCTTGTGCTTTGCTGGATCAGGCCTGAAGTGAGTGTGAAACTAAACTTGATCTATCTTTGGTTTCTTGTATATCTTTAGGGTTGGAAAACATAGTGCCAAAACATTGAATGTAATGTGTAATCCTGTTATGCCCCATTTTCTTGAGAAATTTTTCAGTCCAAGATGCACTCTCATCTGAGGTAACTTTGTAAAGATAAATGTTGGTGCCTGGTCATATTTGATATCTGAAAGGAGGGAAACAAATGTTAACCTGTCAGGAATTCTAGTGCCTGTCTCAGAATTACTTGACGATAAGCTCTAGCCGCAGAATTTAGATCCAAATCTTGAGCATTCCTGTTTGGATGCAGGTTTTGGTTTAGGGCTATTTCTATTAAATATGAATGTGCTGTCTAAAAGATTAGAGTTTGGAGTATATGATTAAGTTGGACTGTCTCCACGTCCCATTTAGTTTGCCTGCCTGTGTGGTGTGTGGAGAAGGAATATGTACAGTGCTGCTTCTAGAGTGTGTGTGTGTGTGTGTGTGTGTATGTATATATGTGTGTGTGTGTGTGTGTGTATATATATATATATATATATATATATATATATA